CTTTTGGGGAATGACAAGATGAAAATGATGCAAGAAGTAATGAGCAGCACAGGAGGCTGAAGAGATCTGGCCCAGCAGTTAGGATGAAAGGCAGTTATTCTGACTGAGACATGATCATTTCCACAGCATTCTTTGCACTCTTAACTGTGTTTGCACCAAACACCCTCACTAGTCAGCGTGCTTCAGGCCAAGCGCAAGCTTAAGTGCGTAGCTGGTTCTGGGTCTCGGAAGAATGGTTATCTAGTCACCACTGACACTGGTGGGAGCTTTGCTGAGGATGTCACTGGGACCAGGATCTCAGGGATGCTGTTGAGAAGGGGTAGAAGCAAAGCACGAATGAGCTCTACTCCAGCATTATGCTTATACTACTAAGACTGCGCTCACAGAGTAAGCTAGGAGCTGCAAACACAATCTTTCACCCTAGCAATATTTTATACCTTAACACATTAACTGTCAAGGTTAAAGAGATATGAAATACATATTAAAAGCCTAAGCAAATGCACTCAATGAGAGGGCAGATCCATGTTTCAAGAAGACTTTGGTTTTATAAACCAATTTAACCCAGGTCTATTAAGAGCTTTTCCTGGTGAAAGAGTGAGAGTATTTTCTCTGCTATAATCATATCAGCCTGTATTCTGGGTTAATGGAGATGAATATTACTGCCAGATTTTGTTCTTTCCCTGCATCTAATCTAATGCCAGATGGTTCTGAATGGGTATTAAATCCCCCATGTGCATGACCTCCCCAAGGTTTTTATCATTAGAACCTTAAAATAATTCAAGGAGAGCTTTCCCAAAGCCTGATCATAAACCTCCTAATGAGGGACTGAAGTCACAAAAAAAATCCTCTTGTTAATTCCTGTTTGGTGTTTTTCCCCCTTTATGACAAATAAGCAAGAATTCACAGTAACAGAGATGCTTTTAAACTGTTTCAGTGGAAAACACATAAAAAATGAGCATTCACGTTAACAGTTCAGGTTCCCAGTAGGGTCTGGAGACGTAGAAACTGTTCAGCCATCTTCAGCTTAATACAGGGCCCAGTAACGTCACCATCCCTCAAGGCAAGCAGAAGTTACTCTGTCAGTAAGCAACTGTTTTATTCACAGTGTAACATAACACCTAGTGTCAGAATAAACATGATCCAGTGTCAGAGGAGTGGATGAAATGGGACCTTATCTACACAAAAGTACAAGGACTTACTTGCATTAACATCATCTTTACACTAACTGGAGTTCAGCAACAGCTAAATTCCCAAAGGTTGTCCTAAGAATTTTCTGCCCCTCCTTTGCACAGAGTGAAGGGTACATTTTAATGATTTTATGTTTGGTTTTCTACTCGCTGTTTACTGCACTGCACCATGTCTTACTTGCTTCCTGTTACTTGAGCATATAGGGCAGAATTGTTCATAGAGTCATGGGTTTTCTGTACTTCTCATTATTGGGTCATCCAAAAGCAACGTAAGTATTCTTGCAGCTAGATCACATGTTGTGAGAATAGGGAGGGGTGAGAAATAATCAGAATAAAGTAAAAGAGTTTTACTAATTTTGGGGTAACAAAACTGCCCAGAAAACTTGTCTCTCAGAGGCCTTTATACTGTGTATGCAAAACACAACTCTCATTAATGTCTATTGCAACAGGGAATATGCGATATTTGCAAAAAAAAGCAATCCTTGGCAAAATCCACATAAGTAGATATCTCAAAAGAGTTTAGTTCAGGTAACTGAGGAAATTGAATCCAGTTCATCAGGAAAATATTCAAATACATGAGGCCTTAATTGTGGGACAATCCTGCCCTGACCTGAAGTCCTAGACTCACCTCCCATCATATAGGAAAAAGAATATGACAGATAACATATTTATTCCAAGATCTGGAACTAGAGCACAGCCACCCAGAGTGGCAGGAGACCTATAGAAATAAATAAGCAAACCAAAAAAAAGTCAAACCCTGCCTCAGTACCCAGCAGTACCTTATCACATCACCAAGGCTTGTATCATTGTGCAACACATAATTTCCCAAACCAGAGACACGCACTCGCACTTAGCATCATATCTGCAGGCATACAGACAGTGTGTGTACAGACACCTGCCCCATATCGTATCAGAGAAGCAGATGGTCTCAGAAAGGTTAGGGAGAGACAGGGACCCTTTGTCAGAACTCAGAGCAGGACCAGGAGCACTGAGCTCCAACCAGGCACTGGAGAAAACAACATCCAGATAGGCAACAAGTCAGTTCATTAAACTTGTGAATATAAGTCTGCCCCTTCTTATTTGAAAGCCCAGATGTCCCACCCTCATCCCAAACTCACCTCTTATCTAACCTTGTCTTCGTCACCCTAACTCCAACCCTGACTCATATCCACCGTTCATGTCCTTGTAGACCTCCACACCATGTCTCCAACAATCTCTCCATCTCACTGCTTGCTTTATTTATCTCCACAAGTTCCTTATCAGTGTCATTAGCAGCTTGTTAGCTCCCAGCATCTCCCTGACTCCCCTACTGCAACCTGAGCCCCCTTTACCTTGCTCTGCTCCCTGTCTACCCATTCCTCATTCTCCTTCTGTCCACTGTCTTCATTTTGTAGCTCCACTAAGGACAACTTCATGCCAGCCATACCCACCTCAAGCTAGCATCTGATCTGGAGGAGGTATCTGGACAAGTAAATTGTTTATGTGGTGGAATACTGGTAAAGACAGAGGAAAAACCCTTTCTGAAATACAAAAATGTCAGAACAGGGAATGGAGCACAAGCAAACTCAGCAACAGATTGTGGTACTTGCCCCCATCACCACTTTGTGTCATTTCCCTTCCAAGCACCCTGGCCATGCCCCAGCGGCAGCACTGTGGGCTGCTCAGGACCAGCAGGGAAAAGGCAAAAACGGGTACAGAAGAAACTAATGGCACTGTGCTGAGTTCTTCATCCTGCAACGAGTGAAATCCTGCCTTGACTGTAATGTTTTACAGCCTCATGCAAGTTATTTGTCATCCCAGGCCAAAAAAAAAAAAAAAAAAAGGGGGTTGATGGTTTCTGTCCATTCCTTAGATGCCACATTTAAAATGAACAAAGGAGCAATGCTGCCACCAGCCCTTACCAGAGAGGGACCTGACTGGGCAGGGAGGACAGGCTGCTCTTTCTGGGTAAACCCGACATTCGGCTGAGGCTCGGGCTGGGGTATGGGCTGTGGGGCCCCAGGATGCTCCGTCTCTGGGGATAAGGAGTATTTCTGGTATGTCGGCCTGGCACCTCCACCGCCCCCAGCGCAAGGAGGGGGGCAGCGGGGGTGAGAAGGCTTTGCTCCGCAGCACTTTCGAGACAAAGCGATTTTACTAAAAAAGGAACTTGGAGCACTTCGGTCTGCTGAGGGCTGCAGAGGCCGTGCCGGCTCTGTCTGCATCCCCGTCGCAGTCCCTGGTGCTCGGGAGGAGGAGGAGGCAGCGGGAGGAAAATAGCAACAGGCGCCCTGCTTTGCAATAGCGGCTCGGCAGCCCCCGGCGGGCTCGGGGCCAGCCACAAGTGACCCCGGGGATGTTGGGCGGCCCACAGCAGGGTCGGGAGAAGCAAATGTGGGGCTAAACCTGGGGTTTGGTGGCTGGACTTGATGAGGAGCAGCAGCCGACTGTGGGAAATCACTTCCTCTGCTTTGTTCCCCTTCCCCCTCCCGCTGCCGACTGCCACTGTACGTTCTTTGGGGTATGAACCCTCTGATGTTATGCATCTGCAACCCAACCACACGCGGGACCCCACGCTCGCCACTACGGGGGTACTACCACGGGTAACAGCACTTACAAAAATGACATTCTGGCTACATGGAAAATATTAGCAAATTGTAACATTTCCCTCTATAGCTGTGCTGCAGACAGCGTTTCCAGATCGCCATAAAACATGCTTTCTTTTTCTTTCTGTCCCTCAGAGCAACTTGACAAGTTTTGTGCTTTTTTTCTTCATATGCAGGTTTATTTTATGTCACCGAGCACTGGCAAGGACAGAGAGACTTTTAAATTGCAGTAATCTGAATTCTAGAAATAACAAGCTACAAAGGTCCATGATTAAATGCGGGGCGCGCGGTATCTGCAAAAACAAGTACTCTGTGTTCTTTAAAAGATCGTTTGGATAATAGTGACATAACCTGAGTACCCGGTCGTGGTCCAATTTAATCAGCAAATATGCCTCTGGAGCAGAACCATCTAACTTAGGAAAAGAAACAGAAATACAGTCACCACCAGTAGGAGAAATTAATGCATTCCACTTAGACAAAGATTAATTGTTATGAATCACTCCAAAAATACATTTGCCCCAAGTGGGAGTACACACTATTCATCAAGTTGCTTTCAAATAATCATTAAACATCTTAAGACAGAAGACAATTTCGTTGACCCAGAATAAACACTACTAAAAGTTACAAAATGAGGACCACCTTTTTTTAAAGACTGGAGCATTCTGACCAAGAGTGGTTGCCTGAAATTGGGACAGGCAGAACGTCTGCTAGAAGAACCGTGTTTAGGTGCAGAGGACTCTGCTAGTTCCAGTAGAATTTTGCATGTTAGAGTTTTCACATCATTGTTGATTTTTCCATATAATTTTTATCCTAAATTCACTTAATTAAATTTATATTTGCTACTAATTTTGTCCTGTTATGCACCTCAGATGTAGTGTCAATGGCATCTCAAAGGGTCATAAAGCAGATTTAAAGCCAAAAGTCACCACAGTTGCATGTTTTGAGGAAAAATGAACATTTCAGGAAGAGCATGAGTAGCTGTCATAGTAAGGTCTCCCTCTGCACAGGGGTTCTCCTATTAAAAATGCTTCAGAAAGATGAAGATTCTTTTTGTTTTGGTGGGACAAGTATGTGTTGAAACAGACTGTTTTTTTTTTTAACAGCAGGTTTCACTCCCCTGCATCACCAGTCACTCACATTTGATTTTCCGTTTGCCTCTGGGTAGTCCCTGGTAGACAGGTCCTGATGGCAATGCTCTGGTATAGCATTGGTTTGGGTAAGACAATGTGCAAGAACAAGAACTTAGTCAAAATAATATTACTTTGTCATTTACAAGGACAAAAGAAAAAGTGCAAAATTAAAGGCCAGCAGGAAGCAACTCTGTTACCAACTGTAGAATATTATTTTTTTTATTAAATTAATGTATACAGTTTCTCCTGTGAAACATTCCCCAAATCATCACTCCATATTCATAGATCTGCACTCCTGGTGGGATAGGAATGAGAAAATGTTTCCATTTGCTTTGCAGGGCCAGAGTGAGGTGCAAAGCAGGCAAATATCATCCATTATTTAATCAGCAGAACCACAGATGTTGTTGAGGTTGACTTCACTGCTACCTTTATCTGAGAGACTAAGAGATGGCCTTCTAGTTACAATATTTTTATCAGTCTTCCTTTTCTCCAGTATTAAAGACTCTTATAACTTAAGGCTCGGTCCTCATCCAGTCCAAGCAGTGCTGATAGGCAGTGCATCCACTGATACTTTTTCCATTACAAAATAATGTTGTACCCAAACATACTTTGTTTGACACCAATAAATCAGTGCAGCTCTTTTAATCATACCCGAGACTGAACTAGGCCAATTCTTTTTTTAAAAGCTTATAAAATTTGGTGACTTTTCAAAGAAAACTTTTTTTTTTTTTTTTTTTTTTTTAAAGTGGCACAGTCCAGCACTCCCTGTTCCTGGCAGCAGCTCAGAAGTACTCTGAGAAATGTATCTCTTGTGGCAGTTCTGACCCAAATGAAATCAAGAAATCTTGGAAATCTCATGGGAGATGGATTTTTGTGAATTTTCCAATTTAAACAGGTGGAGATAAACCAAGATAAGTGTCTGAGACAGATCTGCAACATGTGGAAGGTTCATCTATAACTAGAAATGTCTGCCTTTATTTTTATGGCCTTACCTTTTTCTTGAGATATGCCTGCAGGCACTTGATTAACAGTGAAGGGAGTTATGTAAATGAATGAATGGGGAAAATAGATGTAGTAGAAAGAAGCCTTCATTCTTAACTCTGACAAATGCTAGCTCTCCAAAGGAAAGATTATTTTAATTGGCCAGCTAGTGCCTCAGGATGGGTTTGAAATGACAAGGAGAGTATCTTCAAAAGCCCAGCAATTCTGATGCTTTTCTCAGGCAGCAACAATGATGAAAAAAAAATATCGTAATCCTTATTTCTGTTACTCAGATATTTCAAATGTGTTGCTTCAAATCAGCTCTTAAGTTCTTCTACCATATTCATATAGCAGAAGGAGAAACAGACAACATCTTTATCTTCGGAACAGCTTTCTCAAGTCACACCACAGTTTACTTTATGACTCCAATATACTCTGTATTTCTTTTACTCCATTTCTTCATTACCACCTCAACATTAGCAAGTGTTGCTAAGTAACAGTCTACAGGCCCCTATAATTTTGCTACATGACTGCACTATAACCATGCGTTAATACTTCACAAAGGCAGTAACTATCAGCAATAACCACTCTATTACTTCAAGGGAAGCCACGGTACTTCCTCATTATGGTTGTATATGCTTCCAAATTGCACCAGTCACCAGGATAATTCACCATTGCTGGAGGCTGAGATGAATAAATTCCCTGTTGGATTTGCAGAAATATTGATGCTTCTCTCACGTAATGGATGTGTGCAATGAGTTTATCTGTGACTCCTTTCCCTTGCATATTAACCAGCAAGCACATCGGCTCGTGCTGCTGCTGGCTGAATACGTTTGCTGTGGCCATGGTCGCTGTATGGGCGGTACTGGGTGGGAACCTGCTGAGTCAGCAGCGTGGCACTGAGCCAGCCATCAGTTGTCTGGGTCGTAGGCAGCGACGAGACAGCAGGATAACTGGGACATGGTGGAGGTCTCTGGGCAGCCATAAGGGCTCCTGTAAACAGCTTCTCCATGTATGATGCCAAGGTGTCACCACACAGAGTGGCTGGGAAGATGATCTTGGGAGGTTTGGCCCCTCCGAGCTTTGGTGGTGGGTCAACCATTTGAGTGTAGATGGAAAAGAGGTTGGTAAGGCTGAGGAGTCCTGGAGAAGGTCACCTACAGAAACTTCATATCCTAGAAGGTTTAACAGCAATAAGAAGCCACTTACTTGAAGACAGGTGGCACAAAAAGACTTACACCAATAAATATTTTAGCTTAACTTCTGCCGAGAATGATTCACTGGTCTTAATCAGCAAGGACAGAATGAAAATCCACGCCTCAATCAAGAGGTGATGATGATGCTGGAGTAGAATGAAGCAAGATGCTTATGAGCCTGTTTCCAACACACACAGAGTTCAGAGGGAGTTTTCTGCCTGTGTAAAATTTGAGAAGTCAGACATATAATTACTGTGAAAAAAAAAAAAAGAAGAATAATTTTTCATCCTTTTCATTCTGTGGTAAAAGAAATTAAAGGAAAAGCAAATACCTTTAATAATTTCAAAATGTTGCACTTTGTCATCAATCTCAATTTGCCATAACAAGCCTTGCAGGAAGTTCAAAAGCTGCAATGGAACAAAAACAGGCTTCAGGGACACTGGACATTTCAGAAATGTGGTTCAAATTGTGCCAGATAATGTCTGCCTCAGCCTTAATTATATTTCACTATTAAGACTATTCCAAAGTAAAGACTGTATGCGTGCCTGAGCATAGGTATATTTATAAATATACATGCATATGTAGAGAGAACACATGTGTGCATGCTGCTGCATGCATGTTCATACACACACACAAATGTATCTGATAACAAAGGGAAGGGAGTCCTTCAACAGCTATATAAAGCTTTAATTTTATACCTAGTGTTTTCCCTGTTTTGCTGGATTGAAGGCCTAGTATTTACATGCTTCATTATATAAGGTTTTCTCTCCCAAGGAACAGACTGTTTTGCCACGTTCAATAAGGTAATGAAACATAGAATAAATCCTTCTAGTGGAATAATTACATGATAATATACCCGTGTTTTATTTTATCCTCACCATGTACTTCAGTTTCTTTAAATGTATCTTTGTAGCAAGCAAACTAGCCATAAATTAGTAATGATGATATTACAGCTGAATTTAATTTCAAAGTCTCTCAACAAGTTGTTAAGGGTTTCTTGCCTAGGTCACTCCTCAGGAAATTTGAAAACTCTGGTATGATTTATGAATATTGCTGTATTACTACAGCATAAAAGGCTATGGGGAATACAAGCACATAAACCTCTGTTTAATTCCATTCCAATAAAAATTTCATTTCTTATAGCAAAATAAACATGTAAATCAATGTTTAATGATTCTGTTGTTTTATTACGTAACTTATAATTTGCCTTTAAACATCCAAGCCAAATAAAATCTGGGACCCTGATAATTTTTGTTGAGACATAATTAGTTAGCAATTAGACCTATTCTGCAGAGGTTGTTTCCCTGAATAACATTAATAATGAAATGTAAGAGAGGAAAGTCCAGGAACAAAAGGCCTGGCTTCTCCTTCCCTCCATGTACAAATACATTAGCCTTATTATTTGCCAATTTTTCAATGTAAACATTTTTTTTTCTGAAATTTACTCAACTGTCTAAGGGATAATTAGTTCTCTAAAATTACTATACTGTCAGTGTTCAATTTCAGAGACTCTGTTACCCTTGAGACTTGTACAAGTTGCATGGACATACAACTTCTTTTGTTCCTCATTATGTAGTCTATCCCTATATTTGGGAAATAGTCTTAATACCTTTCAGCTAATGGAATGGCAAATGGCCAATAGTGAGGAGAAGAGGTTAAAAGAGTTAAAACTTTGGCCATTTTTGCTGATCAAAATTCTAAACTTGTATTAATTACTGTTGAAGATCCAGCTCTCCTTTAAGAAACTGAAGTCCATGGGACTTGCACAAGTAGGAACATGGTGACATTTTACAGGATCTGGCCATTGCTGTCTGTAAGTACTGTGTCCTTCTGGCTTTTGCAATACCATGCAATGAAAATGTCCCTGGCACTGCTAAACAAGTAACCTCCTAAGCTAGTATAATTTCTAATTTATCATAGATGCATGTACATTAGTTTCTCAGAAATAGCGCACACACTTCTTGATCACTGGGAGGCAGTAATCCCCAAGTTTAACTAGGTTTTCTTTCACACATATTGTTTGACCTTAGGTGAGTCACTTAATCTTTCTTTCTCTTTCTGTTTTGCTGTCTATAAAAGTAGGATAATATTGGCTCACATCACCTGCTGAATAAGGCATTATTAATACAAATAGCTGATGTGAGATTAGTATTTCTAAAGTACTCTGTTGCTGAAAAATGCTGTCATTCCAAAGTGTATGTTACTATAATTATGGTATACAATAGAAATCAGGCAGCTAGGCCTATATTTTTGTGCCAGCCTTTATATCTGCTACTTGACTTCACATGTACATGCCCAATTGAAAAAGAATCTGAAAATTAAAGTGTCCTTGAAACTAGACTAGAAACTTTCAACCAATGGGGAATGTCCACCAAAGACTGTCTGGGGCTACCACTATTCTTCTAGCTGGCTCTCCCCAGTTTTGTTGCTTCATGTGCCAAAATCTGGCTAGTAAATGATGAAGGGACAGCTTTGAGAAAAGGATTGTGGTACATGAGGGTGCAGCGGGGTTTGAAGAGACCCTTCAGAGTTTTTACTCATGATGTCTGGCAAAGCCACACACCTGATGATGGCAGAGCAAGAGGTGACAACCATCCTGCCATCTCCACACACCCGTCATCCCGTGCCTGATAAGGGAACCCAACGTTCTGTGCTGCGGCCTACTTACCAATTAATTAAAATACACAACTACTCCATTTGTCTGGAAATTTACAGAAAAAGGGTGACTATCCCATCTTTTTTCCATCCTCAGAGAAAATAATAATCTGATTTTCAGAGGTGAACACTGCATACCTTATGTCAAAGCCTTGTACAGATCTTAATGCAGTATCTTCTGCCACAGAGCAGGAGGAGCAGGGAGATTTTCAGTACTCCTAAGAGAGCAGCAAGATATTTTTTCTTTTAAAGTATGAGGTCATCACAAAGGGCTGAAATTTTAGAAAGAACGAGATTATACTTCCACTAAATATCTGCTCCCTTGAATCTCCTCCCTCTCTCTTCTGTGTCTCTTTAGCTCTTTCTTCCACCTGGAAAATGCCCTGAACATTTTGGGCACTATCAGGAGCAAGAAACAGCCTGTGTGCCATTCAGTCACAGATGGTCCAAGGCATCTCTGAAAAATAAGTCACTTTGTTCTCACTTTTGGGCACAAAATGGAATAGTGGGTTAAGCAGGCATTTTTTCTATCTTCCCAACTCCACATTTCCTCAGGGAATTCCTCCAGATTTCTCAGCATCCACCCAAGCAATGTCATGGTGCAGCTGTACTGTGTTATACCAACAAACACATGTCTCCACTGCCCTACAAGTTTGTACACCTCTGAGTAGAGGACAGCATTACACAGCTGCTTTGACTAAAGTGTGGGTCAGTTTAACACATGTTATTTCATTATGTAGATGAAAAAACATGGGTTGTTATCTTTCTATAAAATGAACAAGAAAAGTAAAACCAAAATAACAGCCTGGAGATAAATAGCCCTAAAGTTCCAGAAAATGTCAACTCCAAGAAATGTGGTGGGTGTAAAAACCGCAAATTAATCTTTACATTTATATACAGCATCTACGTTTGTTCTGAACAATGCTCAATGGTGAGAGTCAGGAACCCTGTGAACACTGCCTCCCACTGTGGACATGCCTCCCATTCCCAGGGCCAGGCAGGAGACACCCCTTCCCATGGATGTCGCTTCCCACGGACATCCCCACAAAGCCACTGTCTGTTCTGCACGGTCCCAGCAAGAGTTCTACTTCCTCTTTGGAAAGCCCTTTCCAGCAGGATGGAAGTGGTCCTGGCTCCAACAGCTGGGGCTACATCTTTAAGAGATGTGTGAACAGGTACCAGACCAGGTAATTGGGTATGGTGCTACATTTTGCACTGCAGAAATCTGCAGGGAGCTGTGGAAGCCACTGTCTTGCTCCAGATCTAGTCAAGGACTGAGGTTGGCTCATTACCATCAGCCCAGAGTACACAGGATTCACCCAACACAGGGGGTGAGACAGTAATTAATCCTTGTTTCCCATATGTCAGGAGAGGAGGAAAAATGTCAGTTGTGTTGCTAATAATTGCATAATACCATTCATTAAATACCCACTGAAATATGACTTAATTTCCAGATTAAATAAGAAATCAAATGAAACATTTTTCAGAAAACCCTTCTTCAAAATTTGACTCCATGGATTTTTTTTTAATATATATTTTTATTTTTTTCTGAGCAAAAAGACTTTTTTTGGCAAGTTTAAGGAACAAAATACGAAATCTAATGAGCGTGAACACCCTCAGCTCTGCAAAATCTCTGAGGCAGCTGAAGATACTACAGAGGTTATAATACACAAAGTGCTTTAGGGAGGAGAAAGGGCTTTTGATCAGACTGTGTTTTAATATATACAGTCAAAGCAGTGGAAACTATTTTAAAAGAAAGGCTTCATAAATATTTGGTTTTATGCAACTGGTGTAAGACCTCACTGAATCAGTGAGTGGAAATGAAAATTATTATATAAACCTACGTTTTCTATGTCCTATGCTGTTTTTGAAGTGAATCTAGGTGCTATTATATCTTGCAAATATGACAACGAAGTATTAGGACTTAAAATCTTCAATCCTTTCAGAAGACATTATAAAACTCACTTACCCCATGATATTTGTGAAACTAAACAACTGCCCACCTTCACAACTTTCTCAGAGAGGCTGCACTGCAAGCGAGCTTAAATCTCTCTACTAAGACTCAAGCAGTTAGAAAGAACTACTGAATTACTGGCAACATGAGCTAATGTTGAACTAATATGAACTTCATGCAAATTTTTGTGCTTGCCAAAATTGCCAGTTGGGGTGAACTTGTAGTAACAGGCTTGTCGGAGACCTGCCAGGGGAGTCTCTCTGGAAGGATAGAGCTGCAGCTGGAGTTGCCTTTTCTTGAGTTTTCTCTGAAGTTAGGACACACTTGTGCAGCTCAGCTATAAACTTTCAGCTGGAGAGAAGATATAGGGGAACCCAACAGCCCTGAAACAGCTGAATGTTAGGATAATCCCAGAGCAAAGTCAAACCTTCAGTGAAACTGCAACACTAAAAAGTTTACTGAAGCCCAGACTGGGTCTAAGCCTGTCTCGTCTGTGCGGAGGAAGCTGTGAACTCAGGAGAGATGAAAGCATGCAGTTGGCTCATTTTAATGATCGCCTGGGTTGCCCATAGCCAGAAAAGCATCTCCACCCCTGAATAAGAAGACCCACCACCTCCATGGAGCCACACACATGGAGTTCAGCTATCACCAGACAGCAGCTCAGTCCATCCCTCCTTCACTGCCTACTTGACCACTGACACAACAATGAGGCAAGTTTTACAGGGAGAAATGACACCTTAAAACCCTTTAAAGACCAAATTAAAACCCAACTGGAAAAGCTTTATCAGTTACACAACTGAATCCAACATAGCACATTGCAGCCCTCACAAACTTTGTCTCAGCAAAGACAATATTTGGGCTTGTCTTGTTTTCAGCTCTCCCAAGTAAAGAAGCTGTTGTTCCCTTAAGAAAGATCTTCACAGTCCACTGTCAGGAAGATTTCCTTGATATTTTGCCAAGAGTTGGATAACAAATGGCCAATGAAACAAATAACAAGATCAGGCCAGAAAGAAGAGAGGAAATATTTAAAAGGAGGAAAGGGACAAATGAGTCTTCAGAGAGTATGAGCTACAGAGAATGCGCTGACTTTGTGTCTGGTACATTTTGCTTCATTTCCAGTAATTCATGCCCTGTACAATTTCTAGAAACAGATAGATCAAATATTTATAAGAAACACACCAGTGGAGCCAGTGCAGCCAATGAAAAAGTGGATTCAAGCTGAGTGGGAAGAAAAAGACAAGATTTCTAAGTTTTGATAGTCAAAATAGATTGTCACTGGGCTAACATAAAATTTTCCCCTTCTAACATGGTTTGAAAAAAACAAATAGGACCATTTCTTCTGTCCCTCATCTCCATCCAGAGGTTTCCCTCCACTGGAGGGTACACAGACCTCAGCCAACACCTTTGGATCAAGGTCCATATTTCCTTTAAGAGATGAACAACGTCTAGAACATGGACAGAGCTAGCCAAACCTCCAAAGACAAAGTCACCCAGAAGATGCTCTAGAGGCAGGAAGCCTTTCAGCATGCCCACCACAAGGTCTCCCAGTGCAGTGGTGCCATTGTGGCTGTCAGGCACTCCAAGAGAGACAGCGAGTGTATTGTTGGCAGAGACCAGACAGTCCAGACTTTACACTGGAGAGAAATTTGGAGTTCAGAAATAAAAAATCTAGTAGGAGACAGGGGAAAAAAGATGAAGAGGGAACAAAAAGAAAACAATAAAAATGAGAGAATGATCAAAAAACCTATGTTGTGTAAAATTTGCATATAATTAATAATAAAATAATACTCATTTACAGAAATATTATGAACATGGAGTAGCTACTTATTAGCAGCATCTTCCTAGGACCATTTCCCACATCTGTGTTTTCCATTAAGACTGAGTAACAGCCTCTGGAGCACACACTGTTCTGTGTGCATCTACTCAGTGACTGTGAAAACAAAACTGTCTGTTATACAAATATTGGGAAATAATTTTCTAGATAAGTTGTGCATGTATTCACAAGTAAAATATGCAGCCATACCAGTCTGTGAACACAACACACCTAATTTGTATGTGCAAAATAAGAACTCGAGGCAGATCAGTACTTTAGAGGAGACCAACCTCGGAACTGGCAACACCGATCCATTGGAACTGTCACTGTCAAATGACAGTGCAACAGCAACCACCCAAGAAAAGCCATGTCTTAATTTCTGCTTGAGCTGGTCTCACCAGCCTTCCTCAAATCCCTCATCCATGAATTCAGAATATAACTCAGACAAGAATGCTCCTATTCTGACCATCTGATGCACCATTCAGGGAAGCTCAAGTTTTATTAAGCCCTATAAACGATCACATTTCTACTCCCTTCTGACAAAAGTCACCTAGAAAGTTAAAAACTCTATCAGTAGCAGAGAGTTGTTTCCCTAATAAAGTTTTAATGTGATTGACATTTTTGTTGCAATTTTGGTACAAAGGGAAAGACTCAATCTCACACATGCAAATAGAAACTTCAGGTTATAAAAGCTGACAATGAAGAATGGCAAAATTTCTAGTTGTTGCAAACAGGCATTTTATCTTATTAAACCAGTTCACTGTTAACTCAGCAATTCTGTTTATGTACAGTGATTTTTTTTTCTTGGGCTAACAATATCCATATCAATGTGATGGGTGTGGTTCAGATCAAGAACATATGCTGCTAGCTGGAAAATTGCATTTGACCTCTGATTTTTCTTATCTCTTTTCAGGGTTTGTTTTCTCTTAAGTTTAAAGACACTTTCATTAAAAAAATTATTTCCTTTCTTTGTGAGGCTGAATCAAAAGCCACTAAAAACAGTGAGAGTCTTTCCATTAATTTAGTGGGGCTTCACATTAGACTTTCAATTAGAAACAGTAAGTGTAGAAGTATAAAGAAACTAAAGATAAAGGAAAGGGGAGCAGGAGGTGGAAATGTTTCATGAACATTTACAAACCTCTAAGGTTTCATTTGGCTTTATGTTAAGTTTAGGTCAAAGGTTTGGGTCAGCTTTTGTTCTCCTCCATCCCCATTTGCTCTGATCTTTTTTTCCAGAGGGGAAATCTTGACAGATGCGCTGTGAAAAGGGAAAAACTGGCCTGAAAAGCTGGACTCAAGACCTGGTAGAAGCAGAATGATGAGGCAACCGCTTTACAGTTTGTTTTCCCATCACAGAGATTGCAATTCACTCAGATATAGTAGTTTAATGTTTGAGTGAAACTTGCAGATATTTTAGGGAAACATAATTAGAGGTCCACATTATGATTAACACTCCTGCTTGGCATCTCCTGCAACTCACCTCAATGGTGACAAACAGCAAAGTTGAGTTTTAGGACAGTGCCATGCCCTGAGGCAGAAGCATTGACTGGGTTTGCCACTTGTAAATCTACTCACTTGGGGACAGTATTTTGTTGAGCAGTGGCAAAATGCAAAGTCTCCCCCAGGGAGATGGATCACTTGTCATCCAAAGGTTGCAGGGCTCTGGGATGGCAAAACTGCTGTGGCCACCAGCCTTTGCTTTGCATTGACAGGAGAGGGGTGAGGAAGAGAGAAGAGAATTTTGGCACTCAAGACACAGAGATACAAATAAGACAACTCCATAAGGAGAGATAGTATCTTTGGGTTAATTTATTATTGGGTTTTTTTTTAATTTCTATATGATTAGCAGAAAAATCAGAGCAGCTTCCTGGCATGTCTTCTAGCTATCTCAAAAGGTAAGTACAGGTTGAAAACAGTTACTGAATTTAACTGAATTATGTTGATCAACTGGACATTTTAAGAGGAGGCTGGGAATAAAAAGGGTAGCTGGTGCCTGGAGAGGAAAAAAAGATGCTAGTGAGCAGAGGTGATAAAATCACTAGCCCTGGGGGACAGTGGGAGAAACGGGCAACTCTCAGCATGGGAGCACTAAACATGCAAATCCTTCTGCTTCATTCCCAGCTCGCTTCTCCTGCCTTACATCCCATCTATTCCCACCTTGGTCACACCAGAACGAGTATTTGCAAGGCCAGACTCTAACCCAGACCACTGAGAGCTGGATGAACACCAAAACACTGCTTGGACAGGCTTCCTGGATGGCATGTTACACATGCTTTGGCTCAGGTTCATCCTGTTAAATTTGGGCACTTAACCACAGACTAAGTCCCTAATTTCCTGAAAATCCCTCTCCAGTGAGCAGAGGGAGATGGGCACCCCCAGGAGCAATCCCTGCTGCTGGAAACATCATTTTTCTCTCTTGTCACTGCCTGTAGAGGAACCCCAGGACAGGTCACCCTGCTGATCCTGGTGTTGCGTAGGACATGTCTGGTCTCAACTTCCATTCAGAGGCTTTCCCATATCCGTACGGGTGTAGGGGCCATGGTGTGGCCACAGAAGAATAGACACAAAAATAGGTTTCTGACCTAATTCTCACCAGTAGGCAGCAGTGAGAGAGGCTGCTGGAGCTGAGGGGGAGTAGATCAGGTCATAACCATGCAAACCACACGGATGTGTTGGTGAGCCGAGAATGACATTGTTTCTCCAAGCTGGCTTTTCCAGCTTTCCTGTTTAAGCCTTTTCTCTCTCTTCTTCTTGATCCTTGACACACAGACCTGGATGACTTTTCCCTGCCTTCCATTTCTGTTGATGTCATATTTTCTTCTGTGTTTATGTGAAACAACATTATTTGCCATGGTTTTGAAATCAGCTCAGAACATAGTTGCTGTCTCACAATGTCTATTTTGGAAACAACATTTAGGAAACATTTTCAGCCATGAATATTTGAAGATTTTTACATTGAAGGCACTTTCAAGTATAAGATTTTTTGTGTCTCAAAGGAATTGCACTGTAATACTGTGATCCTTTTTATTAATTGTTTTCCCTTCTGATTTAAATTCAGACATATTGTGGATTTATATTTTTACTTTTCATCTATAGCAAGTACTTTCCATGCTAGCAGGCTATCAGTGATTCCTTCAATGAACAATGGAAAATACCTACTCCTTGAAGGATTTTACTCTAGATAATTTTTAAATTTTTTATTTCTAGACTATATTTTTAATTATCAATATTCTCTGGTGTTTCATCTTCCACATAAACTTCTAATGCTTTTAGGACATGTTCTTTTTAGACACCCAAATTATTTCCTTATAAAGGCTAAGCTGGCTTCATGCGACAGGAAGCCCTAAATACCTGAGAGCTTTTAGTCTTGTTTTCTCCTGTGGGATGGTTTACACCAGCTTGGCTGAAGCCCTGTTCCAAGCAGAGGGACCGGATGATGTACACCGCACACATCCAAGCAGTCCCATTGTAATCAGTTAATAAGATGAGATAATTTAAAAGAAAATATTTCCTTTGTCCCATACAAATAACATTTTCATTACTCATTTCAACTGGCTAAACAGCAAAACCAAAGCTTTCTAATAATAAAAAGTGTATGGCCTTAAAGCAAACACTGCCAAAACTAAAGATGCTGGAAATTTTCTTTCTGGGACATGGTGCAAGAGAAATGATGGGGATTTTTATCTTTGGATCACAGATACTTAGGGCCAACTGGGGAACTTTCTTTGAAAAAATTAAAAGTTCCCTCAGAAAAATAATATGTTAACCGTGCTGACTGACTCCCAAAAAAGGAAAACGACTGCAATTTTACACAAGACATCCCATTTGGTCCCTGTTCATGCCTGGGAAGGTGTGTTTTCCTCAGAGTGAGACCATTGCTGCCACATCCTCCCATCTCAGTTTAGCTAAACCCCAAGAGTTTTCTCTCTGTTATGTTGTCAGGATGCTCCTTACGACCCTTCTGTAAACCAACAGGACAGGTCTCAGAAAACTTGGTGAGATAGTTTAAGCTCCATTTGCACAGAGCAATCTCTTTCTGTTACAGGAAATCAAGGAAAGAGGACTCAGCCTTCCCTTTGGTTCACAATCAGAGTTCTCAGGTATCCTATAGATGAGGCTATTTAGGGTAAACTCAAAAGAACCCAGTACACTCTCAAAACAGTTTATGAGCTTGCTTAGCTTTAAAAAGCATGAATGTTGCTACTACTGTCAATGTCATTTGGGCTCAGATTTCTGAAAAAAAAAATTTCTTTTTATTTTTCTTGGGTGTTTTGTTTTTTTTTTTTTTGTTTTTTTTTTGTTTGTTTGTTTTTTTTTTTGTTTGTTTTTTTTTTTTTTTCAATTAAATAAGCACATACCTGTACATATACTCACATTTCTTCAGAGGTTTGGGGAAATTAGATGTAAATGACTGTTGGTGAAACTCAAATGCTGTGTGTTGGTGCCGGTATTCAGAGACAGCTTTCCGGGATTAGATGTCCCCAGCTAACCTCAGCTGTTAAGAATTATTTTGGAGCTTGGCCCTGGCAGGTGAGGGGGAACCATGAGGAGGAGAACAAAAGGGTTTCTCTCTCTTCTGCCCCTGCCTCCTCCCTTTGCAGCGTTGGGCAAATGTGGTTTTAATTCAGAAATACAAATGTCATCTTCAAAGTCAACTCTGGGGAGGAAGGGAGGGAAAAGAGAGTTAAAAAAATTAATCAATTGGATTGCAATTTATCAAGACTTTTTTACTGTGAAATTGAACTGGAAAGTCTTAACATCTGAGCGATGAGCAGTAGGGGAGCTTCAGAGAGGCTGGGAGTGCTGGAGTTAGAATGTAATGAGCTTTCAATGCAAAGGACTTCCCTGTTGTCCCAAACAGCTTCTAATATTTTGTTTTCTTCAAGGCCAGATCTGATGTAAATAAACTCGTGATCCCACGTAGCCAGGAATCTAGGGAAAACAGCTCCACTTTACACTCTATTCTTGGAGCTCCTAAAGCAAGCAAAAGGTGTCACTGAAAACTGTTTGGGACCGTTAAGTAGTAAAGAACCATTTTTTTCCCTATGTTATCAGCCACCTTGTGCTTTTGCAAGTCTCCAGGCTGGGAGTTATTTTTGTTTCCTCCGAGTTATGGCAGCCACAATGCAACCGCTGTGTACGTGCTACAGCTCTGACAGCAGATGTGAATAATGGAAAAGGGCTACGAACACAAGTCGTCACCTGGAGTGCTTGCTGTACTTTCTTAATGTATGTGACATTGACATAATACGCCCTGGGGCATTTTGGATCAGATGGCGTTTGTCTGTTCCACGTGTTGGTTTTATGAACAGCAATCAAGTTGTGAAACACATGTAGGCAGCGTGTGTGGTGGGTGTCTTTCCACCCTGTTCATGGGTGGGAAACACACGGCTGTACTCCCAACAGAAACCCTGTTTTGCCATCAGAGGAGAGGGCTCCTGATCCATAGCAGGGTTTGTGGTGAGCTGTCTGGATGATGCTGCAGGGTGATGGTGTTACACTGTCATTTTATCTGACTGTATAACATATACAGCACCTAGAAACAGCTTTTAAGATACAGAGAAGCCCTACCAGATACATCCCACAGGAGCTGACCTGTGAGCTCGATATGGTCCTCACCAATATAAAAAATTAAAGCCTTACTTTCCAAGCATACAGGCTGGATAGGAGTGTCGCAGCTCATCAGAGGGTGAGCCCAAGCCCCTCTTCCTTAGGCTGTGAGGCAGCAACCAATCAATCAGATACACAGTCCATAGAGCTGTGTCAGTGAATTACCAGCACCGAGAAGTACATCTCCCCCTCCCACAGCCCCCATCCTTCAGAAGAAAAAGTCCATTTCTGTAGGGACAGGAAGCAGAATTAATTCCACTGTGATTTCCTCCTCTAACTCCTTCTCCCTGACACCCCATTCCAGCTTTCATCCTCCTATCTGGGCTATTTAGTCTAGAGCAGTGAAGATGAAGAGGAGACGTGATAACAGTCTTCAATTATGTAAAAGGATTATACAAAGAGGAAGGCAATAAATTGTTATCCACATCCACAGGCAGAGCACAAAAAATAATGGGTTTAAATGCAGCAAGGGAGAACTAAGTTCAGCACTAGAATAACTTCCCTGCTGCAAGGGTCATTAGGCACTGGAGGAGATGGCCCAGGGAGCCTGAGGGATCTCCGCTGCTGGCGGGGTTAAAGAAACACATTAGGCAAACATGTGTCAGGAGCGGTTTGTGTGGGGGTGGATGAGATGACCTCCTCAGGTCCCTTCTAGCCCTATTTTCTTCTATACCATAGTGATAACCATCCCAGCCTTGCTCCTTGGCAGACAGCCACAGCAGAACTCTACTCCGCTTGTGGTTTTTGGTATAGGATGACAATTGTCTGGCAGCAGCACACTTGTCTCAAGGAACTGATGAAGCCAGAAGATAGGATGATCTCTCCAGTCATCACACAGCAAGCACAGCAGGACCCAGAAGATTACTCTGCCCGCTCCTAGATCACTTCATCGTCTCTTAAACAGTCAGCAAGAACAACTCAAGCATCCTAAGAGCTCCCCATCTCTGCAGAGGACACGGGCTCACACTCACAAACACACACTATGACTCTAAAGCAGGGGCACCTCAGCAGCCTCCCCCAAAACATAGGAGTATCCCCACAAGCAATACACTTGAAGAGAGTTACTTTGCCCAGTGCAACAATACTAGACACCTTGGACTGAGCTTGCATCTGCAACTGGTACAGCCTGGTCTTGCACAGCCCTTACAAGAAGCAGCATCCCCTGAGGTGCTCTACTCTGAAATGCACTTCTCTCGAAATTTCACTGAAAGTGTGACTGATCATATGTTTACATAAGGATATTCTTAAGTGCTTTGCTGGACTGGGGCCTTACCCAGCTACATTTCAGGCTCTTGGATATCAGTAGGGATTGATTAACCTCTCTGCATGACCTGGGCATTGAAAGCATACATGTGTCCAAATGAGGATATTTTACTGAATATAATTTTACTCTGTGTTTTAGATATCCTAGGAAGAAAAAATGGTCAATAACAACAAAACCAGAAAATGGTCACCCTTTCTAACCATCAAAAAGGTGTGAGTGAACCATAACAGATGTAATTTGTATCATTACTGCTGATGAAGTTGGTAACCTTTAGCAAGGAGACATGGATCAATAGCTACTTGAGAAGATGCAGCTGCAGATATCTAAATGGGCATGAACTAGGAAGTGAGGTGTAAAAAGTAATGGCAGATTATTTAAAACAGATGAAAGCTGTGAGGTAGGCTTGTGACCTTGAAAGAAACAGATAAGTAAAAAAGTAGAGAAGGGCACCAGTGATTTATATACTTGCCCTGCACAAATATTACAATGCTTATTGAAGGGTGTAGTAAATTATGAACAAAGTAGAGCTGTATTAGATTAATGACAGGGGAATTTATATAGGAAAGTTGACGTCTTTGGAACATAGACAAGATAAATTAGTTTTATATTAACTCTTTTGTTTCCAGGCTTGAACATTTATTTTTCTGCCATGGAGTAATTTGACTTATGCTTGGTAATTACACATCGGTTTCCAGATCTTTGTAACACCCGTAGAACTCAAGGTATGGAAAGCAATGGGACACCAGGAGGGGGTACCCATGGAGATGGAGAAGCGAAGTGCTAAACGTTGGCTGTTCACCAAGGACTTCTTTCTGCCACTGTAGAAACAGGTGGGAGTTCTGGGATTGACCAAGAGGCTCCCAAACTTTATGGTGATTACTGTAGTAATGTCTAGACCTCTCAGTCTTGGATCATATCATGCTAGTGTCTGTAAAAAAGACAAAAGAAGACAACCATCTCCCACAAGTTTTGAATCTAGCAAAGCAGGGAAGAGCTTAGTAGGACAACAAAGGACCACAACATGAAATGGTTTGCACATGGTTATACAAAAAGGTGGGCCAGGACCTCCAAATCCATCTTCCACCTGAATGTCTAATCTAGACTAAAGGGAAGGATGTTTCTGTCTGCAAAAGCAAACATTTTGAACTGCCTTAAGGGATTCTGTTAAGGAAAACAAAAGGAGAAGAAATAAAGTCTACCTTAAGCAGTTTTCAATATATGTAGTTATGTTTGCAAAATGCATGTATTAATCCCAGCCTGTTTATATCAGTGAGAAAGACAGATCAGCCATCACAGTATTCATAATTACATACGGAAATATACTTATAATCGTATAAAGTCCCAGCAGTGACTCCAACAACTTCTTGGACCACTGCCATCCATAAAAGAGCTAAATCTACAGGGAAAATGTTCTGGGGCACAGTTTGCACCAGTTAATCAGGTCATGGTCAGCTGCATTACTGGGACACACCAGTTTGCTGATCATTAAGGTCTGTGATTGACTTTTGCTGCAGAATGAGTGAGTGGCAACGCTCTCCTCCAGCCCTGAGGTTGCACCTAGTGAAATCAGTGGCTGAATTCTTACCTCCATCACCAGCGTAAGGCCCGAGGAATTGGCACCATACGGCGCAATGCTCATTATTCACCACTTGCCATGTACAGATGACCTGAAAATCTGACCCACAGCCCAGTGAACCCCCTTTGGATTTCTCTGTGCTCCGGATCAAGCCCCAAGAGAACAATTAAAATGAATGAGCTCAAATAAAAATGATTTTTTGCGAGTGTATTTCTGATCACTTTTGCATGCTGTTCTTTGCTCCCTGTAACAGCCCTTGCCCAGGTGTAATGTGGCCAAAGAAAGTTTTAGCTTAGAGAGGATTGCAGTTTAATATCCGTACTCAAAAGAGCTGCTTACAGTGGAAAAATAAGTTGGCTAAGAAATCAAGTATATTCAACAGAATCACCACCCACAGAGAATAAATTTTTCAGGTAGGATAGTGTAGGTACAGCTATTATGGAAACATGAATCTTCAGCTCCTTTACATTATTATGGTTTTCCTGCCTTGTAAGATTTGTTGGAAAAAGTGGAATATGCTAATGATCCTCTCTAATTTGTCTCCCTTGAAGTTTTGTGTGAGCAGAGTAACACATTCTGTTTGAACTCCTTAATTCCTATATAATTATTTTTAGTTACATTCTCTTTAACCCTGTATGGGCAGCTAATGAATTAAAAAAAATATATAGTCTCCTTGAATTACCTACTGTAATTTCTCACCAGTGTTAACTTGAATTTAGTTGGCAGCTACACTCTTAAAAATCATCATTAAAACCCTTCCTAATCCGTGTGTGATCTGGACAAAGAGTTTTCCCCTGTGCCCTTCTGCCTCCATGTCACTCAAGATCTCATCCTATGCCATCCAAGGCTCTAGTATCTAAAGACTGGAGTATTTCAGCTCTTCCATCTGCAAGAAACAAAGGACAAGTACGTATTTATTGGTCCACAACCGTTGCTGTCCTGTGATGAGCTAACTACACATATGCAGGGAAAGCAGTCCCATGAGACTTGGGGTGGACAACTTGAATTAGACTGGAAAGGCAAAAGCTGCGATGGGGCCTGCCGCTTCTGCACAGCCGTGACACTGTCTGCAAACACACTCTTTTGCCATGAGAAAGTGCGAAAAAGGAGGCCTGAGAAAAAGGAGGACAACTCCCTTCATCCCACACTCTGTCCTTCCCCTGCTCCACCTCCATGAGAAATGGAAACTGATGGCTGCCCAGCTTCACCCTCACACCTGCAAAACCTTCCAATGGCCTCATTTCCTCTCTCCTCCGCATCCTCCCACAGAAATGGGTCTATCTGTTAAACAGACATAACAATACTGACTTTTTTTGGTGAAATATTTTAAGATGGCCTGTGTCTGTGTATGAAAATGGGGGATTAGTTTTCCTTAAAAATCTGCATTTTCTGAAGATTATAGGAAAACATTTTTAAAGGAAATCCATAATTTTGTTTTGGAAATTTTTGCCCTTACAGTCTTTTCTTCCTTGCAGAAAAGTTTCATCCAGATTTCTTCATGGGACTTTCAATATGTACATTCATGTTCTGACTTAAATAAGAAAAAGAATCAAAACCCATAAATGTTAATAGAAACAAAATTTTTTGTCCTGATTGTGAAAAAAACTATCATGATAATACAACAGTGAAACATAAAGCTAAAAAAATGCGAATATGGAAAAAACTTTGCCATTTGAATCCATCACTGTGAAATAAAGTAGTCAATACCACCTTAACAAAAAAACATTAAAAATATCTCAGCAACACCTGCCTGTGAAATGCTTGATTTTTATGAAATTGTTCCCTACAGAAAATTGTCCCATAGAACTTTTTAACTCTACTTAATCAGCAGAAGAAAAAAAAAAAAAGAAAGAAAGAAAAAAAAAAAGATGATTCTCATTTCCTTTTCTAAATGAAAAATGTCCATTTCATGAGGGAAAGGTCAGCTGTTAGGCAGAGTGCTGATGCACTTAAAAGAACTTAAAATCTGCACGTGGACTTTCTCACATCCCAAATATTCCTCTCCTTCAGCCTGATGGAGAATTTCTGTTTAAAAATATGGTTTTGTTCTTTGTCCCACTATTACTCTGAATGTTATATCTTTCTTAGAATTTACTCTTTCTGAAACATTTTCTGGATTATATACAATAAATACTGTTTTATGTCATAATCACAGCTAAACAGTTATAGAAGTGTTAAATAGCTACTGTGACATGTCTAATAAATAGCCATCTAACCACATTATAAATAACCTCAAATTCAGTCCAATAAATATTGCAATAAATTTGGTTTTGTCAGTACATCTGTATAAATATCAGTAATAAGATAGACAAGAAGGGCTAACCATACTAAAGATCTTTGATTTTGGAAAAAGTCCATGTGCAATACTTCATTCCCCTTAGGGGAAAAAATAAAATTATTCAGCAGATAATATAGCTTGGGGAAAGGGAGAATTCTTGAAGAAACTTTGATTTATTTAGACTAGAAAAAATGAGACATGCAAAGCAGGGCATGTTTAACTGAATGTCTGTGCAAGTTGCGCAATCTTTGCACGAATTAAAAAGCAGTAACTTTCCATCTATTAATTAGCTCCTATTGCCAATACCATTGCCAGCAGCTGGAAACACTTACTGAACAAGACAGACAGATAGGTACCTTTTTCTTCTGGACTGCAATCCTGCATTGTCTGCCAAAACTTCTGAAAAATATTCCAAATATTTGGCTGACTATTTAGTAGCCTTATCAATACCCGTCGCATCAGTGTTCCCTCACCTACCACTCACTTTTTGCCATCCTTTGGATGACAGAATCCAAGAATATCTCAGCTGGAAGGGGCTGGCGTGGCCCTGGCAGGAAGGAAAGATCTGTCCCCACCTCCCACGCCTGATGCTGAGCCCGTGCGTGCACCACGCGGCCGACGGCCAAGCCTCAACCAGTGCCACAGGCACCCCGTGCCACAGCAGCGGGAGACAGGTTGTTCATCCGTGCTCTGCTACGCAGAAAAACATTTTGCACTTCCACTGCTCAAGTTTGGACACCTTTAGGGATCCTCCCTGGCTTTGCTTTCCCATTAAGCAAAATACCATTCACTCGTTGAGAGTGGCAATGACAATACCTGACAAAGTTCTGTGTTTATTTCAGTCTGTTTAGTTTAGCTTTTTTTTAGTATTATTTCTGTTTATAAACTTAGCCAAAAAAAAAAAAAAACCCAAAAAAATCTGCTCAGAGGAAGCTTTCCATACCACTGTTCATTCCCTATTTATATCCTCCTGGAGCTCTGGGATCAGAAGATATTTCTACCAGTTTCCCCCCATGTCAGTCCGCTCATAGAAAAAAAGACAAGTTATACAATAGCTCTACTGTTACACAAAGGATGTGCATAAGCATCTGCATAATCTAATATTTTCCAGAATAATGGGTCATGTATTCCACACTGGTCTCTAACTGCTCAGTTCTAGTAAGGACTGTGGAGGCACACAGTTAAATTATGAGAAAAAGGGAACATTTCTTCCACATTCAACTTCAGTTATCAGCAATGCATATTTGATGGTATTAAAGGTTGCCCATAGGAACTGAAATTCTGGGCAAAGCACTGTAGATGTGAAAACACTGATTTTCCAGGAGTCTACGGACCACGTCAGGATGAGAATCATAGGTGCTTACATTGAAAACACAGTTCCTTTGTCTCCTGTTTCTTGGGACAACACCACACGGTGAGCCTGGAGTCCTCATCAGCTACATCAGTTGACAAGAACTTTCCAGGATTTGATGTACCTGCAAGAGAAGAGACCAAAGATGTTTGCTCTAATAGGTGTTAATCTTGCTCTTTCCATTCAATCCATGGTAGTCCAGCCTTAGGCTACTCCACTTGTTCCCCATACATCCGTCCACAGGGGTCTGCAACATTTTCTTGCATTTGACAGCATCTCCCATCTCTGTAGATATCTGGGCGTGGAAGGAACGGTCTTGGACCTCCTCAGATTTTATATAGTGCCATCAAAATCCACTCCATCTTCACCAGCTATAGCCAATTTTCTGTCCAAGGAGAAGCACGGTACATGCATAAGTGCTGATCGCATATGATTGTTTTCTCCAGGTGGCATCTAGCTTTGAATTTTGTAAATAAATACAACACAGTCCATATTGACACGCTGTCTTGTTCTGTCAATGCAGTATCCCAAAGAGGGACAGCTTTGGGGAAAAATCTGAGCTGCCTCTTGACTGAGCAGTGAAAGGATCTCTACAAAGTGTGGGATGGGCAGATTTGAAGCAGAAAAGTGTGTGGGTACAGAAGATCCCTTTTCCATTGATTGCTTTAAAGCACAGTCTTGTTAAATGTGGAGTGTAGATATAGGGAAGCATAAGCCTCAATTAATAAGTTATATCCTGCACATATCTAATTATAAACCCATTTGACTCTAGCCTAAACATCCTAATCTTAGTCCCAAATTATACAAATCTGCCTGGAGCAATGTAAAACAGCAACAACTCATGCAGCAACTTGCTAGCCTCAAACTGTCCATGTTGTTCTTTCAGTTATCACAGTTTATTTTTTGGACACTGAAACTCCAGAGGCTACTTGCTGCAGAGCAGCAAAGCACAATAGAGAATACAGTGATTTGTGGCAAATCACTTTGAGGACGAGGGGAACTTTTTCAATGATTTCACTGTCTGTCTGTCTCCACATGATGCGCTGCAAAGGTTAATTCGTTTTGAAATCCCCATTTTTAATTTGTGTTACTGATCAACCTAGCAATTATAAATGTTAATCTGTACTTCGATAGCTTTAAATTTAGAGATTGAGATTGTTGCACTAAATAAAAATTTCATCTCTTGCTGTGATTTATTAGGACTCGAATGATACAGATAATCCACTGGGTCAGAGCACTGATATAAGCATGATTTCAAGGCACATCCTTAATTAGTTTTAAAGCAGGACAGACCAATTTATACTGCTTTGATTTACATTGGTTTTGCTAATTGTGGTTTAAATAAGAACCAGGAAATCATAATTTAAGTAACTCAATTTGCATTGCAGTTGTGCCTTCTAACAGATATTCATAAGGAAGTTATTCTCAGAGACTGACAAGTAATAGAAATGTTTAATAGTAAAGAAAGGTACCTTTGAGGTTGCATTTCATATTTGTTTTTATTAACTAAGAGAATACATTAAAACTATACTTACGTCACTATATACCTCAACATTTATTTTGTTTTTTGATTTTTACATTTGATATGTGAGAAAACAGGACATAGCATTTTTAGTCACCTGATTAACTTTTTAATGTGTGCTTTGTGTCATGCTGCTTCTGAACAAAAATATCCAGAACAACATGATTGTTTAAATAGAACTACATTGTGTCTTTTATATTTTAGGAAATATTATCAAAATATTCATTACATTTCAAGGTAGTTGGTGTACCTAACAGTGAAAATATCAGCAATTAACCAGCTGAGTTATTTTTTCCTTACTTCCATGTTCTCCAAGATCAAAATTAGTCAATCTCACACTCCCCCACACACCTTTTACTCATAAAATGGGAGAGGATAAACAAATTTTCCTCTTCTTTCAACTCCCAGTTGTTTTCCCAACTTGGAATATTCTAGTCATTAAGTAATGTAAAGTAGATAAAATAAAAAGAATAAAATGTTCTTTTTGCACCTGCAAAAAAGGCTACAGCTGTCAAAATCTAGTTTATTACTTAAGAAGCTACAATTCCAGGTGTCTAGCTAGTAATTTCTCCTGTTTAGTGATTCTTCAGAATTTTGGCAATGAATATATACTTCACTGTTATTTTTATGTAAGGTTTTATTAATAAGAAAATATAATTTTGTTTTAGACATGCATAACAAATTTAGGCCATTGTCATTCCAGAATACATGTCTAAGTTTAATATTAAAAAGAGAAAAATATTCATTTTAAAATTAAAGGATGTATGGACATGTGTTGTAAAAATACACATGGGGTTCCAGTCACTAAGGAATAACTGACAAAAGGACAAGAACCTGAATGGATTAATTCACATCTATTTTATAAATAAACACAACAAAAACACTCTAGGTTTTTTTTTGTCCAGAGGATTTTCCTCGCACTCTCAGCTCAGAACTGAGCCTGTGTCTGTCTGAAACATCATCTCCATCACAGAAACACTTTGCTGGTGTGTGTGATACTTCCTACCACAACCTGAATTTTGCAGGAGAGGCTGTGCACAGGACACCGTTGTCTTACGGTTAGAAAGGAAACTTGGAAAAGCTCAATGTATATGATATATGATAAAGTATGATTTGTACCAGTTATACCTGATAGAAATCTTTCCCAGCCAGGCAATGAAACCTCTTCTCCACACACCATCATTCTCAGACAACATGACAGAAAAGGCACAGCTCTAAAATCACAGTGTTCTTTATTAATCCAAATACTTATTCTAAATTCTATCTAAACCTCTACTTGATTAGAAATTACTTAGCTAAGTTAATATGACTGCTGAGTAAGTAAGAGAGCTTTCCCACGCTATTACTTGGCACATGTCTAGAGCAGAGTTTCTTACCACAGTGACTTGGTTTTGGTTGTTCCCATCCCCGTCAGCAGCAGCAGGAGCAGGGCATCAATGCCGATTGCCCAGGGAGGCTGGCAGGAGGGCAGGACTGGGGTGTACACACACACCCCCCTGCGCAGTGTCACCACCACAGCTCAGAATGGACTTTGGAGCTGAATACTAATTTTTCCCCATGCTATTCTCAATATTTGGGACTAGGAAATCCTGTTCTGTGGGCCAAAAATCTGTGGTGTAACAGAGATCAGGCAAAGGAACTCCACATTCCAGTCTTCACTCAGGGTTCACACTAGTTGTCCTTCATGTTTTAGTCATCCCTCAAAATTTGTAGCATTGCACTCATTTTCAAACAGTTTTCTGTAATGAGGCATCTGCTTTAATTTCTGCATCAGTGTGCTGAAAACGATGTCAAAGATGCCACCTAGTACTTAGTTACCAGTGCTAACTGGTAAAAATTCTATGTTGGTCCTTAGCTCCTGGAAATTGATTAATTCCCCAGTAGGGTAAGAATTTGAAACTAAATTAAACAAGCAAGCAAGTTAGCTTTTCACCAGCTTGCTGAGCTTGCAGTACATCAAAAAGGTCCAGAAGCACTGGGACCAGTCAGGCACACACCTAGGAGGAAGCAGGACAAAACATTCAGCTAACATTTCCATAAGACCCTGAAGAAGTATTTCCCAATCAAATAAAAATTTGAATGAAATAAATTCAAATGAAAACTTGATAAGCAAACAAAAAAAAAATACAAAAAGGTAAAGGTTTATGTGGAATTAATTTTTCGCTTATCCTAGACTTCAGAACAGACATTAGTCTAGAGAGGTGCCAGAAACAGTAAGTGAAGAGCTGTCACTGTGCTGCAGCTCATACCCTTGTGGGTTCCCATTAGCAACATCTCCTTTTCTGCTGAAAACCATTATAGTTTACAAATCCTTTATACAAGCGTCAGCCTACCTAGAAATAAGAACTTATACGTGCAGAATAGACAAAAGGTATCAGTAAATATCTCAGTCCTGTGTTTGGAGAGATGCAGTATACATTCAAGACCAATTAAATACTTTAAAACCTTAGCGAGTACCTACAAGAGTTATGTCTACTAAAGCCATCGGGTCTGCAAAACTTGCATAGGAGAATCATAGAAGAATTTTGCAAGGGGAGGCTCTTGACACACTGATGTAATTTTTAATGTTTTGGAAAACATAGGAAATCCCAGCAACTGTTGAATCAAGTTTGAATGACTTTCTGAAAGATGCAAATTAGTCAAATATAAACCATTAAATAAATACATGGAAAACATAATACCTTGGAAGAAATAAACAAGCAATACATGCCACATCAGACTAAACAAGCTAGCTGTTCTTTCTTGGCCTTGCATTATCTTTGAAACCACTGGAAAATAATCATAAAGAATGGTTTGAAAAAATAAATAAAATGGAAGAAATAGTTATTTCTCCCTACCACTTGTGTTTGAACCAGTGCAGATCTGCCTAGAGTCTAACATATCTTCTTTAATTCCTTCATGTTGACAGTGAAAAATGCTATACAAAAGCCCAATATATCTAGTCATCAGGAAATTACCTCTCTGTATGAGAATTCCTCAGTTACACAAGGCTAAGAAAGTCAGGCTGCCCCTCCCAGACAGCACCCAATGAGCCAGACGAGGGGTGCCTGAGGAACCACCACCGCCCCCCCTGATCCTGGCCATGAGGTGGATCCCCTATTTTGGAACGTGCTTGCCACACAACAAAATAGTCAATGCTTAAATGACACTGAATACTGTATGTTTAATCCCAAACTGATCCAAAATTCAGGTCAGCTCTCCTGACAGCTGTGTTGTTAAGAAATGAGCTAGATGGTGGAGCTAACTGAGATGCCTGTGCTAGCTAGATACTTCACCTCCTGTGTGGGGAGGGTAAAGAAAGCAAAGTAAAACTAGCTGACATCAGGAAAATTGAGAAGCTGTAATTCATACAGAATTGGCCCAGAAATAATCAGATTCTTAACTCTTGTATTTGTTCCTGGACCAGATCCATTCCAACAAGATAAACTCCTCAGTACAATATGCAGCTCTTCACATTGATGTAATGAAGTGATGGGTCACGCTGATGTTGTTGTAGCCAGGATTTATTAGGAGATATTATCGCCTGAAATCAGGAATTGAAGGGGGCAGAGATATTTTGGTTTGACTCTGCAGATAAGTCTTTAAAGCATGTTTAAATGGGTGGGATGAAATCAATCAAATTAAGGTGCTGTGCATGGGTGTATCTCCATTGACCTCAGAGGGATTCCAGTGTACATTGGTACAGGATCTGACTGGTTAGGAATTAATGTATAAACCAGGTATGTTTATTAGCAAAAGCAGGCACACCTCCTACAGGTAATTCAGCATATTTTCTCTCCTTTCCTGAAAATAAAATGCTCAGTGCAGATACAAAAGCTGCCTTCCCTGTTGATCACTTCTTGTCTCTGGCATGTTGCTTGCATTCTTCATTCAGCAGCAGCTGTGCATAGTTGGTCAAACATTCCAAGTTGTTTGTCAAAGTTTTCCTAAGGCTTTTCATCTCCCTGCTTTCCTGTGAGGTGCCCAAACATAACTCATCTCTGTTGGCTTTTGGAGCAGATTAATTCAGAGCGCAGCTTCAGAACTAGCAGGTAATCAGTCAGCTGGAGTTTAAACTGGAACATTTTTCCCTAACAAGGGCAACAAAAAGGTGAAGAAGGTATTTCTGAATTAGCACATTTTAATTTAGGTGGTAGATTTCCTAGAGGCATGCCTCTAATGCCAACTCATGGTCAATCCTTTAACTAAATGTGATCTAAAATGCCACAAGATGTGGAGGAAAGCTAATCAAAGCAGATGGTATGATTTACCACTTCCTAAATGCACAGAGGGATATCAAATCGTAGCCTCAAGCTCTTGGGCCCTGAAGCACACTGCACCACCCTGTATCCATGATGATAGAAGGAGAAAGCCTCCTAGTAACATCATTCCCACCTGTTCACAACCTGTTGGAGGTGTTACTGTAAGGGATCACCCCCAAGGAGGAACCAAAGGCCACCAGCAGCCAGGGCCAGGGATGCAGGGGACCTTTGCAGCACTCCTCATCTATCTGGCATCATAATGCAGGAAAAAGGGTTTTGCTGATCTCACTACACATGGTTTCTACCCTGCAGTGAAGAGGGAAATGGATTATATCTGAAACATTTTGGAGCCCTGATCCATAACCAGCTAACTGATAATCGAGTCTTCTGTAAAGATGAACTCCGTGGAATTTTTTTAACACAAATCTCTCTCAATCTATTTTATTTTGAGTTATCTCCTAGGAAACAGTCCATTCATGTCAGCAATAAAGGAGTAGGATGCCATGCATAGATAGGAATGCTTGTTAACCTCCACCCTCAAAATGCTCATCCCTACAAAACAGAAGGAGGGAGGGCAACAAGGGACTTGATCTCAGCTGACAATCAGTGGGAGCCTGGCTCCTATCTGTGCTTCAAGAGTTCTCATACCAAATTTATGCCCAAATTGTGTCATGTGATATAGGCCAAGTAGATGCACAGGTAGTTGAGCGATGTCAGGGATTAATTTGACATGTCATAGCTCCAGACCCCAAAATGATTTATAGGTGTGAAAAACTTTCTTACCTTAATCAGCAGGAATATTCCTGTGCATTAAATCAGATGGGCAAGAACAGAATCAGTCTCCAGAGGAAAAAAACCTGAAAACAAAAACCCAGGGTGTAAGGACAGTTATTTATCATGACCTCTTTGTTTTGAAGAAAAGAAAAAAAAAAAAAAAAAAGACAAAGATTTGAATTATAGCTATTTGATGGGTAACACTGCAGTAGACAAGTCAGTCCTTGTAATCCACTGGCACCAGCAGCAGAGGACTAAATCAAATGTGGTATTATTAATCTTGTTTATCTATTAATACAATCCATTGCAATGGTTATTCAATATTTATTTTGTCTACCTGAATTACTGCATACTTCATTCTCTTTTGAAAACTAGGAGAGTTGAAACAGTGCAGCATTGCTTTTTAACTGACAGAGCTTTAATCTTTTTCTCATAGTGGTTTTACCTGACCTATTGTTTGAAATAGTAAATAAATTAGGTTTTTGCAAGATAAGGAGTTCCTGTATTAGAATTCTATTGGTGATAGTATCATGATACACCTGACACTCCTTATAAATCACAGAATTATAGAATGGTTCAGGTTGGAAGGGACATTAAAGATCATCTAATCTCAACCCCCCTGCCCCGGGCAGGGCCCCCTTCCCCCAGCCCAGGTTGCTCCAAGCCCCTTCCAACCTGGCCTTGAACCCTTTCAGGGAGGGGCCAGTGTCTCACGGCCCTCACAGGGAAGAATTTCTTCCTTATATCTAATCTAAATCTACCTTTTTTCATCTTAAAGTCATTATTCCTTGTCCTATCACTACATGCCCTTGTAAAAAGTCCCTCTCTCTGGCTTTCCTGTAGCCCCCTTTATGTACTGGAAGGCAGCTGTAACATCTCCCGAGAGCCTTCTCTTCTCCAGGAAGAACACCCCCAACTCTCTCAGCCTGTCTTCATAGCAGAGCTACTCCAACTCCCTGATCATCTTCGTGGCCTCCTCTGGCCCCGCTTGAGCAGGTCCATGTCCTTCTTACACTAGGAGCCCCTGAGCTGGACCCAGCACTGCAGGGGGGGTCTCACCAGAGCAAGCAGAGGGAGAGAATCCCCTCTCTTGACCTTCTGCCCACACTTCTCTTGTTGCAGCCCAGGACATGGTTTTCTGGACTCTGAGCACACATTGCCAGGTCATGACGAGATTCTTATCAAATACTCCCAAGTCCTTCTCTGCAGGGCTGCTCTCAATCCATTCTCTGCCTGTGCCCAAGCACAAATACAGGCTAGGTGGAGAATGCAGCCTTTGCTTTCGGACTAGTGCCCACTGTTCTGCCTTGAGGGTCAGGTAGGATGAGTGCTCTTGACCTGACACAATACTGTGTGAAGACATTTTTTTCACTGCCTTTGAAGAAATAACATCCACTACACTGAACAACATTTTAAAGTGATCATTCTATATCCAAAGTAGTAAAATTCTACCTTCTAGGAAGTAAAATAATCACTTGCAAAGGTCAGAAAAGACTTTCTACCCTACTTACAGAAATAAAAATAGTCTGTGTCTCTTCTCTCTTCTCAGCTAGTCATATCCATCACTGCACTCTCAATTTGGTACAAAATACCCCAGAGAAAAATAGATCAGATTTATCTAAATCATTAAAAAATGCCTGTTGCTGCACTGCAGCTTTTTGTCATTCGACTCACACTGAGATTCACAACCCACCATCTTGTTCTACTTGGCAATGAAGAACCAGTTGAAAGTCAGATTGGAGGACAAAATGTGCAAACAAAGACCTTGAGAGAAAATCACTTGCCACCTTTTAAGTTCCCACCACCTCCAGGGTGTGGGTGAAAGAAGGTTTGCAACTACTATGACTAAAAAACCTTTTTCCTTGACCTTGCTCCTGAAGGAACCTTGCCATATATTCATTAAGTCTGGTTCCAGGTTCAGAAAGGCAAGAGAGATGTCAAGTCAACATCAGGAAGATCCAGGAAGTCATCAGCATGATCCACAATGCAGGTTTCAGAATCAGCTGGCATTTTGCATTGTTTTTATTTCATATGGGAGAATTCAAATGAAGAACTTAGAACGACCTTAAAAACTGAAAACAGAAACAAGAGAAAGCTCTTAATGCCGCTATGCCATAATCCATGCTACCCCAAAACATCCTCCAAGGCAAGAAACTGAAAAACCCCATCAAGGAAACAGCTCCATAAAACGGAAAAATAAAGTATAAACAGAAAAATAAAACCAGACGCCAATGTGTACCCAAAGGGACTATTAAAAGCAAAATGTTTGTCAGTATAGGATGCTCCACTGCACACATCTGGTGCTCTCAGCAATACAGAGCATTTCTTTAATTGCTACACCTGAGACTGAGAGCAAGAAATAAATCTAGGGGCTGATCTCAATGCATTTTGAGACAGGTGGAGATGAGTAGCAGCATGGGGATTTCATTGTCAATAATCAAGCAGTTATACATTACCACGTTAAACAGATACGTTCAGGATACAGCTATGTGTCTATAATTTGATGACTGTTTTTTAATTCCTTCTGGTGCCAGACTTCACAGAGATAACTGTGATAAGCCTCCTATTTGGTATATATCATCCAATACTTTTTGCAAGATCCAAGATGTCAGTACAACAATATCTAGTGGCAAAGGCAAGGGACTAGAAGTCAGAGCAGCTGGGCTGACTCTAGACTGCGGCTTCTTCTCACAAGGGTCATTGCGTGTTGCTGAACTTCTCTGTTCCTGTTTTATTTACTCATACTGTAAGTGCTGGCCACATGTTTAGACAGCACCGTGCATAATGGATCCTCATTCTCTCCTGAGCCCTTAGAAATGTGCAAGTTAGTATTGTCCACTCAAATTCATGACTTAGACCTTTCCATAAAACAAACACAGTGAAGCCAATGCATCTCTTGGGAGAAAAGGATTCCAACTTAGGCACATCGCCACCGATGCAGCTTCTAACAAGAAACTGTTTGATATTTCTAAACCGGAAAATAAACTACTGGTCCTCTTGCTCAGCATCTCTGTTGCCTTCACCTCTCAATGGGATGGTGAGAGGTTCCTCAACATTTTTTAAAGTGGTGTGAGTCCATACAAAGAGTATTTTAAATATTGATGTTAAAATGTTCGCATCTTTATTAGATGTTTTGCTCTGAATCCAAGCTGAATATTCCGAAATGAATTTTAATAATTTCTTTCAGAATAACACCAAGGTTCACCTTTTCATGACTCAGTTAGCTATAACTTGTCCTTTTGTGAACAATAGCATGTCATCTCCCATTGCCAGCTGCTATTATTACCTACACATTTTTCAGCTGTTTTTCATGTAAACCTGGTGACCTGGTACTCCATTTACCCAAAATTTTGAGTTCTCATTCCTGTCATTACCCAAATTAAGAATGACATCTCTTGAACCACAACGACTGCCTGAGAGTATTCTCATCCTTTGCAAAATGGAGATTTAGTCATACATTGTCTTGTAGCACATTTAAGATCTGGAAAAGATATTAGGTTCCCAAGTCTCATTCTTCAGGTTGGTGCTCAAAGATAATCACATCTTTAGGACTTACAATACTAAGCACATGATACAGAGGTGTCGTTAAAAGTCACTACGCTTAAGCAAATCTGAAACAGTTCAAATAGTGTCTTTCCCACCCAACTTGCCGTGCTTTGACACAATTTATTAGAAAGAAGAAATACTTGAACTAAAAAGCAGACTGGGCAATTTTTCTTTTTTTTAAGTGACAGAAAATTTTCCAGGTGTCCTGGCCCGTTGTTTTGATTAATAGCAGTGCAGCCAAAGGAGAGGACTGTGTGAAGCGTTCAGCAACCAAAGAAGTCAGTACTGACTGTCATGATCAAACTACAATTTTTTGGCAACCGTGGTCAACAGATTCCTGATTTCATCTTTTATAGAGCACAAGCAGAACAGGACATCAACAATTTCTTTCCTGAAGACCAGTGGTTTATTTTGTCTACACCTCCTGGATGTCTATCCCTTTGGAACAATGCTCTGCAGACCTTACTATGTTTGTACAGATAATGTCAGAAAACGTTACCTTAAAATTGTCAAATCAGGACCAAGCCCAAGATTCGCTGATCATTCTTTTTAATGCTCAGGGGAGCTGAACATATTTTGAATGTCTAATTGGGTTTGCAAGAAATGTAATACTTTCTTAACAAAGCTTGAATTTGCACCCTGAAAAACAAAAAAAAAAATCAAAACCAAAACATTAAGCATTTTAAATGTGCTCTTATGCTGATACAGAAAAAAAAAAAAAAAAAAAAAATCAAGGCAATATCAGAATTGGAAAAAAAACCCCCACAACTCAAAACACCCCAAATCCCAGCTATGCTGGTCCTAAAATAATTTCTTGTGATGTAGTTGTCGCATAGCAATATATTTTTCATGCTATATTATAGATATATAAATAGAATACTGAGCATGTATATACTATTCAAAGTAAAAATTAATAAGGAATGCATATACGTTGATGCTAAGAAACAATTTCTAAATGAAACATTTCCTCTTTTCCTCATTTTTCAGAAACTTTTCAGTCAGTGGACTTCCAGACTACATTTCTCTTTCTTTCTAAGGAAAGATTCCTCTATACAAAGTTTTCTGACTAGGCCAATGACATGATAACTATTTCTTTCCTGTTTAGAAATAACCTGAATAACATGAAGTTGAATTTCAGGCTGAAAATACCTCTTCATTGTGCAACTACCTTTTTCACAGAATTACGTTAAACTTATTCAAGGCTTTTATTTCAATTTCAGTTAAAATAGATTTCCTGAAGCCAAAAAACCTTTGAGTTTTCTTTTGGCCTTCTCCTTGTTACTTCTTCCTATGTAATGACGCCATGATTCACTTTTTGATATTCTCCAGCTTCAGATTTATTTATTGTAATTGCCTAATTTCTTATGAGAAAGGCAGATAAGGAAATATTTCAAGAGGCTTGTAAATAACTGACAAGTACCACAAGACTGCAGTTATTTTTAATTTGTATCTAAATTGTTTTGCTGTGCTAGCTGAAATAACGCATTTATATAGTTTTTCAGTGCAGTTTGTATAATTCATCACTCAATAACCAGCACAAACTGTGCATCCTATTTTAAAACTTCAAGGTATTTTTCTGGTTACTGTTACTGTAATGTATTGTATTCTGGACAACCTGCAGTGGAGTAATAACTTGCATGACTTCGAGTAAAAGTCTCCCCTTTTTATTTGACTCTAGCCAGTTTTACCAACAAGAATGAAGTGGTTCCAGTCCTATATGGTTGCACGGTTGTTTGGCTTCCCAGTGCAAGATGAGCCAGAGTTCAGTTTTCTCTGGATTTCTACCACATAAGAGTTTCACTTAAAACATGCTTTTTTAGATATTTTTGTTGCACTCTTGCAAAATAGTTGAGGAAAACAAAACAAAACAACCCTGCCCTAAAAGCATGAACGTGCAATATTTTTCCATCCTGACATCTAGGTCTTAAAGGGAATATGAGTTAGCTAATATACACAGCTCCCAGCACCATGCTGCTAACTTGATGAATGTTACAGGTGGTGGTGCTTATGATAATAAGGAAGTTAATGAGAAAAGCCAGCCTTGTTCATGTTTTGTAAGAAACAGAATAAACCCCTACATTTGTCAACTGGGAAAAGACAAACATTAGAAAGAAAAGAAAGTGTACAGTCCAAAAAAAGGGTATTCAAAAAAGGAGACCAAAACTATCATAGCTGGAAATATCAATGAGTAGTGTCATACATTGGCCTTGTGTAATGATGCTTTGTTTACATGGTTTGTATTGATATTGTTAGTTACTTCCTGAACAAAGATTGAAGCAAGGATTTACAAGGATATTTAAAAATAGGATGAGGAGGTTGAGAGAGAAAAGATCAGAAGTACAGAATAAGTTCTGTTGAGTTTAGATGGGTATCTACAAACCTCTGGCTTGTTCATCAACTAAAGCTTCAGACCTTGTGAAAAGAATTAAATAGCAAAAAACTCACCAAGATTTTAGTCATAGCAGCTGAGTAAATCTGGATGAAATACCACAGAATTGGTAAGACTTGGGATTTTAGAATCATTTCAGTCTCTCTTTACTTCTGCAGAACTTTGCTTTACAAACAGTGACAACCACGCAAAAAAGAAGGACATACAGGTAAGATCATTCTCTCCAAATACCTACACACACAGCTTTGCGGAGGTGAAATGAATTGGTGTTCACCTTTTTCAATAGAACCCAATGGGAAATACGGCTCTAGGAGAGTCCCCTTTCCTTCCCCACAGAAAGCGATATAATGTACATTTCCTTTAACTGGAACTATGTTTAAAATCCACCCTAACACCACAAAGACAGGTTGTTGGTTTTTTTTTTTTTTTTTCTTGATACATGTCACCGTGTGTTATTTATTCTCTCTGACTAAAACTAACTCCTGTTAAGCACTCAACATACCTCTCAGAGAACCACTGGTTTGGCAAAAGTTCAGTGAGAGATAAAGTACCACCTCCCAGAAGCTGTTCTAACCTGGAAAGAAAGAGGATCGGTGAGCAGGTTGAAACATATGGATCAATTGGTGCTAAAGTGAAGTAGTATATGCAGAGAAGAGTGGAATGAAAGGAGGGGTTTGTAAGCACAGATAGACCTTGAATTGTTCTAAGAAAAGATCTTGCACACATTCCTTTGGTTTCTACTTAATCATTAATTACTGCTGGTGTTTTGCAAATAGAGGCATGCTTACACTGTCTAATGCAGAGGTGTGCCGGAGATCTCCAAGTCAGACACATGAAGAAACTAGCATATCTGCACAGTGCAATGCTGTGCCAGAGAGACAAACCAGTTTGGGTCCCAGAAACAGCATCACCTTGTAGGAAATTCTCACCTGAGTACAGCACCGGACACACACCCACAACACTCAGCCAGAACTTAGATCAGTTATCTTCACATGGACCAACAAGGTATGGGATGGAGACATCGTAATGGCTGAGTGGATAGAGCACAAGCACAACACATTTCTTCAAAATATAGAAATGAAACATATATTACATTAGGCCACCCTGATGTTTCCAGAGCTGGTTTACAAAGGAAGACTCTTGGAAATCAGATTTGCAGTGTCTGGGGTGTAACTATTTTGTGCTGGTTCACAGTCTGGAAGAATCTTAAATCCTACTCATGAGAGGAGTAACCTCATAGAGGAAGTGCCATTGGTCCATAGATGGGCCTTAGATTCACATTTTTCTTATACAAAATGTACAGTAGAAGAAATGTCAGAGTGTGTGGTCACAAAAGGACAGTGAGACAGGCTTACAGTATATAACACCGTAGATGTCAGCAAAAGTCCAGATGAAACTAACTGCAGTCATGCTGCCTCCCAGCCCAAGAGCCCCACTGCTCACCAGGACCGCATGAGTAACAGTCACCAGATACAGGTGCCAACAACACAGGCTCAACAGAGCCAGGACTTGTTTTTTTCTGTTCAGTAACAATTTCCACTTCTCTCTTTGAGAACATGGTAGGAGGAGGCTCAGATAACATCAAGAGTTCCTGCCACACTGCCCAGTATTTTGGTCCATGTGCATCTCATGAATAGCTTTGGCTTTAGAGCCTGGTGCTGAGCAAATATACCAGGACATGATCCCCAAAGGAGGGTCCCTGGGGCTGCTCATACTGTACCTCAGCCTTCAGGGATCTGTAAAGGACACAGAGTCCCTGAGAAAAAGGAACAAAGCTCATAGCCTTTTCCACTTAAAAATAAATCAGTTAAATGAGAGGAAACAGGGCAGGTGTCTCATTTCCTGAGCACCACGAAGCTGATTGCAGGGCAAGTCCAAGCCCTGATTCACCGACCAGGTCAAGGCCATTGTCCCAGCCCACTCGCACACAGGAAGGAGAGCCTGGTCCCAGCCACCCCGACAGCCACCGCCCCGGCACACCCCTGCACCCTGGCAAGGAGCAGGGCACCCAAAACCTCAGCGGGACTTACAGCTGCAAGTACAAAGTGATTTATCTTTTCCCTGCTTTGCTTTCCCCTCCTGAAGGTTGACCACCTGCATGCTGCACTAGCAGAGCACTGTGCTGCTGCTTTAAATGGACCCTAAATACTCACAGGAAACGAAATATAAATAATTGTAACATGTGCACTTAGTACACATCTGAGAAATCATTGATATTGCCTTCTTCCTTGGTTCTGGTTAAAAGAGTAAGCATCAAAATGGGGAGACAAATCACTTCCTGGCTACTCAATTTAAGGATGTGCTCATCTAGAAAGCCATGTCAGGGGATACTGAGAAGGAAAGCAGTGATTTACAAGTAAGCCCCTCCTCCCAATTTAAGAGTCATTTTATGACCTCCTGGGTGTTTCTTTAAAAGAGTCTTCCTCTTCCATCAGTCTTGTTCCCTGCTCTCTGTGGCAATGGCCAATAAATTCAGACGATGACATAGGCTGATTAGACTGAATCTCCTCCCAGCCCGGCTTGTCTCTCTGCTTGAAACTTCAATGAAGCTACTGCCCCACTTCTGGCACCCCAGTATGAGGCCAAGGAACAGCTTGTGTTGTCATAAATCCAGGCTTTCCCAGCAAGATCAAGAAGGAGGAAGGCTGTGGGAGGCCTCCGTGGAGGCAGGCGAAGCTGTAACAAACGTGTGAAAATTAACTGGATTCATGTTTACATTTGATATGTCTACACATATGGGCACGGGAAGCCATGCACTCACTCGGGTCCCACCAGATGCGAGCTGCTTGCAGATGGGAAGTCCCCTTTTATTTGCGTTACTGAGTCTGAGTTAAGCTGCCCCAGCATATAAAATACGGCTGCACAGCTCCCAGCCTGCACTGCCTCACACCCAGATGGAGATGATAAAAACAAACATTTGCACCTGCTCATGTGGACATATACTCAGAGATTTTGCTGACCGTGTCAAGAAAATAAGCCTCTAACACACAGATACGACAAAAAATAGGATGGGCAAAACTCTCCCCACATGCTTATATAGCTCAGTAGGAATGGGATGTGTTCATCCTGTTGGTTCAGGATGTCACTCACCTCTTTCTAGTAGCTGGTCCAAACAAGGGATGAGCATTTTTTGCTCCTGCCTAATAACATTATCTCTTCTGCCTGCTGAAAGTGGCTTATCCCTTCTATGCTGAGCACCGTGCCCCAAAGCACCAGGGAAAGGCTCACTG